GTGGAGTTTGCACATTCTCCCTGTGTTTCCTCTGGTTTCCTCCCACAGTCCCAAGATATGCAGACTAGGTGGATTGGCCATGCTAAATTGCCCATATGTTCAGGGATGTGTAGATCAGGTGGGTTATAGGGGGATGGGTCTGGGTGGGATGCTCTGAGGGTTGGTGTGGACTTGTTGGGCCGAAGGGCCTGTTTCCACACTGTAGGGATTCTATGATAAATAAGTGTACAAGAAAAGAATTAACAAAATGAGAATTGGTACTTCAGAAAGTGGATGGGAAATGGCAAATGAACTGAACAAATACTTTGGATTAGTCTTCAATTTAGGGGATCCAGGTAACGTCCGAGAAGCAGCAATAAATCAGGAAATAGAAGGGAAAGAGGAACTCAGAAAATAACAATTAACAAAGAAGTAGGACTGAGTAAATTGGAGCTGTAGAATGACATTTATCTGAGTCCTGATGGCCTTTGTTCCAGGATCTTAAAAGAAGTGGCTTGTGAAGTAGTTGATGCTTTGGTTATAATTTTCCCAGCCCTGATTTGGGAATGATCCCATTAAATGAAAGATAGCAAATGTAATCCCTTTATTCAAAAAGGGAGAGAGACAGGAAACTACAGGCCAGCGAGGTTAACATCTGTCATAAGGGAAATGTTAGAGGCTATAAACAAAGTTACTACAGTGCTTTTAGATAAGTATGGCAATCCGACAAGTCAACATTGTTTCTGAAAGGGAAATAATGTTTTGCCAGTCTTTTGAGGAGGTAACACGTGCTGTGGATAAAGGGGAACTGCTGGATGTACAGATTTCGGGAAAGCATTTGATAAGATCCCATATCACTGGTTATTGCGGAAAATAAAATACATATCCTGGTATAGCAGGTAGCATGCTTCAGTTATAGAGGACACTGGAGAGATGACATCTGGAGTACTATGCAGAGATTTGGTACCTTTATTTAAGAGAGGATGTAAATGCATTGAAAGTAGTTCAAAGAAGGTTTGCCAGACTAATACCTGGATTGAATGGGTTGCCTTGAGGAAAAGAGTTACATCTGCAGGAGATTAGAAGAATAAAAGATGACTTCGTTGAAACATATATAGTTCCAAACGGTCTTGATAGGATAGATTGGAGAGGATGTTCCCTCTTATGGGATAATCTGTAATTCTTGACCTGTGATTTTTAAACAGATGAAAAATGATTTTCTTTGCAGGTTGAGTGTCTTTGTAACTCTGTTCCTGAAAAGTTGATGGTAGCATAGTCCTTGAATATTTTTAAAAGATAGATGGAATTTAAAATGTAGTAATGTGATAGTATTGCAAACTATTTCCCTTTATTCCTGCAAAATTTATCCTTGGTTTAAATTGAAATTATCAAGAAGTTCTGTAGTAGTCCAACTTTAAGTCTGATGGCTTAGAGCTTTAGTTTTTGATATTGTTAAAATCATAATGACAGAGGAAGTGTGAGAGGAGTTGGAATCCTTGAAAGTGGATAAGTAGCCAGGATTGTTCCCTGGGATGTTGAAGGAAAACAGGGAGGAAGAAGGGTCCAGACCCGAAACGTCAGCTTTCCTGCTCCTCTGATGCTGCTTGGCCTGCTGTGTTCATCGAGCTCTACACCTTGTTATCTCATGAAATAGCAGATGCTCTGAGAATTATTTTTCAGTCTTCACTGGAGACAGTTGAGGTGCTGGAGGACAGGAGAAATGCAAATGTGGTTCTGTCGTTTAAAAAGAGTACAAAGAAAATGCCAAACAATAATCAGCCAGTTAGTCTTACTTTGGTGGAGGGCAAATTGTTAGAATCAATTGTGAAAGTTTGGATAAACTGTCACTTGGGAAGGCATGGACTAGTCGGGGATAGTCAGCATGGCTTTGTTATTCTTTGAGGAATTGAAAAAGAGGATCAATGAGGGTAAAGCAGTTGATGTTGTCTACATGGATTTTAGTAAGGCATTTAACAAGGTCCCACATGGCAGACTGGTCAAAGAAGTAAAAGTCCATGGGATGGAGGGTAATGTGTTGAATTGGATCCAAAGTTGGTGTAACCGGAAACAAAAGGTAGTGGTCTGTGGCTGCCCTTGTGAATGGATAGCAGTTTGAAGTGGTGTTCCACAGGGCTTGGTGTTGGGAGCCCTGCTGTTTGTTTTATACCTTAACGATTTGGACTTGAAAGGTGTACAATTGGAAAATTTGCAAGTGACTCAAAAATTGGCTGTGTAGAGAATGGCTGTAAGCTGTAAAGTGATGTGGTTTGGTGGAGCGGACAGGAAAATGGCAAATGGAGTGTTAAGTGTGAGGTAATGCATTTAGGGAGGTCAACAGTAAAATGGAATACACAATTAATGCGAATATACTGAGAGGGGTAGATAAAATGAGAGATTTTGGTGTGCAAGTACATAGGTCCTTAAAAATAGGAATACAGGTACTAAGGTTGTAAAGAACCATATGGAATGCTATCTTTCATTGACAGAGGTACAGAATTCAAAAGGTGGGATATAATAGTGAAACAGTATAAGACACTGGTGAGGCCACAACTGGAGTATTGTATGTCATTCTGGTCATTACACTACAGGAAGGACATGTAGACAGGGTCGTTAAGAAGGTGTTTGGTAAGCTTGCCTTCACTGGTTTAGACCTTTGAGTACAGGAGTTGGGAAGTCATTGTACAGAATGTTGGCGAGGACTCTTCTGGAGTACTGTGTACGGTTCTGGTTTGCCCTGCTACAGGAAGGAATTTATTAAATTGGAGAGGGTTGTCTTTTAAATGTTTCAACTATACCTGCATCCACCGCTTCCTCTGGCAGTTCGTTGCACATATGAACCACTCTCTATATAAAAAAAGTTGTCCCTCATCCTTTTTAAATCTTTCTCCTGTCACCTTAAAAATGTGCCCTCTAGTTTTGAACTCCCCGATCCTAGGGAAAAGATCCTTGCTATTCACCTTATCTATGCCCCTCATGATTTTATAAACCTCTATAAGGACAGCCCTCAGACTCCTACGCTGCAGCAAAAATAATCCCAGCCTATCCACCCTGTCCTTATAATTCAAACCTTGCATTCCCTGCAACATCTGAAAAGTGGGACTACTTTGATTTGGGAACATGGTCGTCGTGGGCCAGTTGGACCAAATGGTCTGTTTCCATGCTCTATGACTCTAATTGCCCTGGAAAAAGTGCAGAGAAGATTTATTAGAATGTTGCCAGGGCTGAAGAATTGATACTATGAGAGGAGCCTGAAGAAGTTGGGTTTGTTTTCTGTGGAGCAGAGAAGGCTGAGGGAGGTGACATGATGGAGGTATACAA